AGTCCTATCAGTAACCTCAGCAGAGGGACTTGGAATACAAATGCAGTGACGTTACCGCACTTGTAGTCCATTCATTCTTCCTCACGTCCATGTTACAGAATGTCCATACTGAGGTACTGGCATGGACGGGAGGGAGAAGATCTACTGATTACAGTTGCAATGCTTTTCTGGCTACAATGAAAAAAAATGCACATTTTTTCTTTTATCAAGAAGTATGCAATTTATTATTTGTTTTGAAAAGGTGAACTTTGCCTTTAACACCCTATCTTAGCCCTAAAACGTGCCTTATTAGCACTGAAAATGTCTTTCACCAATTCCTTACACTGGTAGCTCGAAGGAACCAGCACCAATACAGTGATTTGTCTTTCTTTATGTAAATTAATATGGCTACTTGATCAAAAACAGGGTCTCAAACTCAATTCACTTGGGGGCCACTGGGCAAATGTGTTTCTTTCATGGGGCAGCTTACTAAATCTGATAAAATGTCATACTTCCAAATAAAATGTATATACAATACCAGTGTTAATAATGTCAGTACCGTGTTTCCCCGAAAGTAAGACCTACCCCGAAAAGTAAGACCTAGCGCTATCTTCAGGGATTTCTGTAATATAAGACCTACCCCGAAAATAAGACCTAGTTCGGTGGTAGGTCTTATCCCTGAAGATAGCGCTAGGTCTTACTTTCGGGGTAGCTACACATATAACTGATTTTTAAATGTAAAGACCGCCCACACGCCAGCCGTCTGCAGCTCCCGCCCCGCCCACACGCCAGCCGGCTGCAGCTCCCGCCCACACGCCCGATGGAAGCGGCATATCCTCCGCCAACTTCGACACCGGGACCAGCAACAGCACGCCACCTTCCGGGACCTCGTCCAGTCCTGTGAGTATTCCTCCCCCAGCCCGGTAAGACATCCCCCGAAAATAAGACCTAGTGTCTTTTTTCGTGCAAAAAATAAATAAGACACTCTTATTTTCAGGGAAACACGGTATATGTGTTTGTGATGGTTTCTTTGTATGCGATGTCAGTATATTTTTTGTGATGGTTTGTGTATGTGTGTGTATTGTCAGGATTTCTGTGAGTGATGTTGGTGTGTGTGTTAATGTGCGTGTCATATCAGTACATTGGTATATCTGTGCAGTGTCAGTATAGGAGTATGTTTTTCCCAAAAATTTTTTAATAGTAGAAGACCAACAGAGTCACACAATTACACAGAGAAATACGCATACGCGCACACACACACACACACACACACACACACACACACACACACACACATATATAGAAACACACACACAGAAATATACATTGAAAGAAAGAGCCCTGTTAGGGACCAGGACAGGCACCGCAGAGCTGGAGCAGATCCAGCAGTTCCTGTGCTCAGCTGCAGGTGTCTCTGGGCAGTCAGTGGCTGTCTAGGACTTGAGCACCTCCAGGTGGCACTGTGGCACCGGAACCAGGACCCGCAGCTCCAGGGCTCACCTGCAGGTGGCTCTTCTATCAATCACCACCTGGTGTTACCTGGGAGAGTATTTAATCCCTCCTTGAACTGGGGATTTTGCCACAGTATCATCGCCATTTCCTGTGACCTGTATCCTGTGACCTGATTCCTCTGACCCGATTCCTGCATCCTGGTGCCTCCTCGTATCCTGACCATTGATCCGTGACTCCCATTGTGTTACCTTGCTCCCCAGGTTCACTTGCCCCATTACCGTTTGAATAGGATTCTGTTTGCATTTAGTTTGATATTATTGGTTCCTTGTGCTTACTTGTTTTCACTGTGTTGAATAAACTGTGTGCCTATAAGCATTGTCTGGTGTGGTCATACATTTGGTCCTCCCGTAGAGATACCTGTACGCGGTTTGGGGACACCCGTGCACGGTATCACTGACAAGCCCCCTCACCTGCTTACATTGTATGCAGGGAGGGGGGCACATTCCCTGGTAGTTCAGTGGTTGATTAGTACGGTCTGCACCTTGGCTGGTGCAGACCTTACTAATCTTTCCTTTCGGCCGGCACTCAGTGAAGGCTGTCAGAGTGCACGCTGCTCTGATGACATCGCCAGGAGCAGCTATGCGGTCTGCATTGGACAGAGATGCAGACCATGTAGCTGCTCCCCCAAGTCAGGAACGTGGTTCATGACTGCGTGCTTGACTTGTCAGCTGGCTGCGGGCCAATTCCGGCCTGTGGGCCGGTACTTTGAGACCCCAACCTAGAACCTAGGCTGGAATTCAAACTGACCCTCACTGACAGACTTGCTTCTTGATCCAATCATCTTCTTCCTTCCAGTAGTTTCCAGCACCCCTTCCAGTGCTGGTGCCTGTCTCTGATCCTGGGCTGACTGATGCGTCTTCCTGTCCGGCTGTGTGCATTGACTTCTATTGAGTCTCTCCTCCTCTCCCCTGCACTCTATTTTAGCCGTCCGTATTTCTAGTTTGCATCTTTTATTGCTTTCTTTATAGTTGTGGAACGCCAATGCCGGTGATCCCTACTCTGCATGAGCCCACCCAGATCTTCCTGCACGGAAGTTCGGGGAACCTGGATGCTGCAGACGAGAGCGTGTGGTGGTGACGGAGGTAAGTATTCACCTATTTGGTAACCTTTTTATTTACTAAAATGTTTTTGCATATATCTACTGCTTGCTAGCAGTAAATCTATGTAAAAAAAAAAGACTTTAATTCTACTTTAGTGACCGGTGACAGAATAATCCCATCATGTGGTAGAATAATAGCTGGTCCGTGCATGGACCAGCGCTCTTTGAGTTAACACTGTTGATGGGTCCCTCGGGGTCCGAGGCAAACCCTCAACAGCAATTTAAGTGGTCACAGCACAGTGATCATCGTGCTGTGACAGTCACCAAGCCAGCATTCAATTCACTATGTTATGGAGCTGGAAGCCGGCTGTGTATTACAAAAAGATACAATGCATCTCTAAGGAGAATACAGTATCTTCTCAGAATTCTTAGTATCAAAAGCCCCTGTAAATAAAAAAAATTAACCCCTTCGTGCCCCCTGCAGTTTAAAAAAAAATTTCAATCGTTTTGTAAAATTTTAAAGAATAAAAAAAAAGGGAAAAAGTCAAAAAACATTTTAAAAAAATATACCAAAATATAGTGCTGAGGAGGCTATTAAAGATAGGAGAGAAACATACCACATTCTAAAACTGTATTACACTCCTAGTATTTTGTAACCTATAACTCCCAAAATAAACTGAAATCCCAGACATATGATATACCCTATAAATCAGGACAAAAAAAATAATTTATTATGAACTACTTTTGGTTAACTACACCAATATGTGTAGCTAATTATTAGGGATGCACCAATATATCGGCTGCGAAACATTTCGGCCGAAAATGGCACTGTTGGCATAATGCCGAGAGTGCCATTTTCCTGCCGATACATCGGCGCATCCCTGCTTTCTCTCCTCCCCGCTGGGCGCTGGGCTCTGTGTCCCAGCGGGGAGGAGAGAAAGTGTGACAGGCTGCCGAGCGCTGCGGGCGGAGAGCGCTGTGAGCGGCCAGTGTCTCCCCTTCGCTCCCACCGCTCAGCCTCCTATCACAGTCCGGCAGAGCTATGTGTGGGCAGAGACAGGCCGCGCTGTCACAGGAGGCTGAGCTCTCCTTCCTGCACCGCTCGCTCAGCCTCCTGTGACAACGTGTCAGAGAGGAGAGCAATGTACAAACACTCAGCGATCAGTGATCGCTGAGTGTTTGTACATAATTGAGGACATGGTATGTGTACTATATCCTCAATTATGAATGAATGGGAAGTGATCTACATCCCCTCCTGTTCATTCATAGTTGTAGTTATAGTAAACATACCATGTCCTCATGTTATGAATGAACAGGAACACTCATAGAGGATTCTTGTTCATTGATAACAGGGGCTGCAGAAAAAGAGATTGAGGACCCTGTATCCTCAATCTCTTTTTCTATTTAAAAAGGGAAATATCAGCGGTCTGTTTAGACCCCCCAATATTTACCCAAGGCCAATAAAAGGAAAGTAAATATAAAAAATGTAAAGTTTATAAAAAAATAAAAATAAAATATAACAACAAATTGAAAAAACTAAAATAAAAAACATTTTCGGTTTCGGCCTGGCAATTGTTTTTATTTCGGTTTTAACATTTCCATTTCGGTGCACCTCTACTAATTTGCCAAAACTGAGAAGATTGGGTTTTTCTTTTGCATTTTTTTTAATGAAACAAAATAAGAATTTATATATGCATGTATCAAATTAAAGCCCATTTTGTACTTTAAAAAACGGTATATAATATATGTGTTGGATCAAGGAATGAGGAAGATGGAAATAATGGTTAAACAAACACATCGCAAACATTGCCCCAGTCCCCAGGAACGAAAACATTTTCTGAAGCTGTGTCACTAAGGGGTTAAACTTTGAAACACTTTATACACTTTGAATAGGAGTATTCTGTACCAAGAGACCCCCATAGACTCCCTCAGTATTTGGGAATGGAGGGGAGACATTCTAGACCATGTGTACAACTTCAATAGACTCTATAAAGTCTACTTGTGTACATCCCCAAATTCAACAAATAAAAATACAGAAACCGATCACTTAGGTCCTTCCCATCCATACATAATCCCTATATGAGAAACATTTTATAAATATCTTTAGTAATATTAGTAAGTGCTCTGGGCTGGAATGTATGACATGCTGTGGGGTCCAAAGACAGATATAAATGTATTGCCGTGTGATTCCTGCCACTTCCAGAGGACTTCAGGGAAAGCAGCCTACAATGGGGAGCTGAACTTGTACATTGGGGAAATGGGAATTTGAGGCTTAACCTGAGGCAGGAAGGTGGTTCAAACACAACTGAGCAACCATACATCCACATAGGACACAGCACACCATGGATAGGGAGGTAAGGCCTCCCAAACACCTTTATAGATGCTGGAGATGGAAAATCAAGATATTGAGTACTTGGAACTGCTATAGGTAAAAGCCCGCAGCCTACTCCTGGGAGAACTTCTGATCAACTCAACAGAAAGAGATGTGGCAAGGAGTGTGGTCTCTGATCTCCAACCCAAAGATTACATTTTCAGGCATACCTCCATGAGAATCATCTTTGTTACTATGTTCTGAATTCAATAGCTCTTTACTTTCTCTTTTTACATCTTCAAGGGCCTAAACATAAGATATAAAACAAATGTTTTACAATTCCAAGTCTTTCAAAGCAGTAAACTAAAAAGAAAATGACATGCATAAGCTACCAGTGGCCTTTACAAATATTTAAAACTACTACGGATGCACGGATACCGAGTACGAGTACAGATAAAAAAAATTTGGTACTCGCCGACACCAATTACCGGAAGTCCCATTCAGGAAGCCAGGTGGCGTGTAAAGACTCGCCACCCAGCTTCCCGATTAACAAGAAAGTCTGTCCCCTCTCACCTCGGCATGTCAAGCATGTCACCCCTGGGGCCTCTCCAGCCAGGAGCGGCCTTCCTCCGGTACCCAGCCAAAGCCATCTTGCTGGCCAATCATGGAAGCCGGGCTCCATGCTCTCTCGTCACAAGTGACGAGAGAGCATGGAGCCGCTTCCCGGCCCATCAGGAAACCGGGCAGCGGGTAGTGACGCGCTGCCCAACTTCCTGATACAGGAAGTATCGGGCTAGGCATCGGAGCATTTGGAGTACTCGCCCCAAATACTCGGTATCGGCACCGATATCGATACTAGTATCGGAATCGGTGCATCCCTAAAAACTACACAATCTTTTAACCATTTTGGGCTGCAGGCGAACTACAAAGACAGCTGTCTGTGATGCCGTTACATGTTTTGATAAATTAATATCTTATATAAAATTGTCAGTAGACCTAAAATAATATTTAAGCCACAAATAACTAAATTCAGAATAAAATCAGTTTTAGCTCATAATCTACAATATCACTCATATACAATGTTTTCGTGATGCTAACTTCCTTGTCAACTGGATATTGTTACGTACATGTCTTATCTGACTTGTCTTACTTATGAATACATACAAGGAATAAATGACTATACAGTAAGAGATGGGCCTAGAAGCCAGTCATATCAAAAGGTGTTGTTTTTTTGGGCAGCTTCAAAAAAAGGGCATATTACCTGGCCGGTTGCTGAGGACAAATAATAGGATTTTTGCACTTACTGTAAATCCCCTTTGTCAAAGTACATTGAGGGTCACAACTTGATGGTAATAAAGCAAAGTTGGATTATATAGGAGAAATGGATGCTAGGAACAAGAAAACTGAAGGCCAGTCCACTTGAGGCTATAACCCTCCCACCTCACATCTTTTAAGTTGTAGCAAATCAGTCCAAGAGAAAAAGAAAGCATATGAGGGGAGTGAGCTGTGTCCCTCAATATTTGTTCTATTGCTCATTGAGGGACACAGATTGATGGTGATAAGCAAAAATAAAAAAAGTCCAAAAGCAGTCCAAACAAAGTGGCGGGAACACCAAAACAAACCAGGTGTACCAGCCCAACAAGCCCCAACCAAGGCAAAAGGGAAACCAAAAGCACTAAGCAGCCGCTGGCAGAACGTTTTAACCAAAGCTAGCATATGCCAAGACAGACATCGACCCCACAGAACGTAGGGAACATATGTATAGAAAACTAGGCTTCAGCTAATCAGATGTGAGACACAGAGAATTAATGGCAAAAATCCTGGAAGCACACACTGCCCTAGAGGAATGGGCATAAAGGGGAAAGGGAAACTCGTAATTCATAGGCCTAAACAACAACCTGACGAATACACTTAGAAATAGTTGATCTGGAGCCCAGAAAAACTCTTTTAGAATAACAGAGAATATTACTGCCTAAAGGGAAGCAGACTTCAAGAGGTAAACCCAGCTGCCCTAATGGGTAGAAATGGAGAACTGGCATTGGACACAGGGAAAGTAACACACTGTCTTTATGAAAGCAAAAAAAGAGAGAGGACCTAGTGTAAAAAGTTCTTAGTTTCAAAGCAGCCTTTTCCTATGTGAGGTCAAAGAAGGCTCTTTACAGAACCACACTGATAACATAGAAATCCTATTGACCAGAATGATGGCCACGTGAAAGATGTCTTATTATTGTCAAGGAGATATCAAATAGGTTTAAATAGCGGTTTCTGTAACACCAACAATCTAGATTTAGATCTCACGGATTGAGGGAAGACCTAACAGAGGGAGCAACATATGTAACCCTTTAGCAAGAGGACATTGTCATTGACAGCGGCCTCTCCTCTCTGCTGGAGCTGGCTGCCGTGGTCTGTGTTCCTGCTGCCTCTGCCGATACGAGGGGGGGGAGAGAGCAGCGGGGATTGAAAGGGACACAGCCCGCTACAGCCAGCACCAGCGGGGAGGAGAACGGAGGAGCAGAGAGCTGGCAACTAATTGATCAATTGACTAATTGAATCATTGCCAACGATTCTCATTATCAATTATAATCGATTTAATTGGTTAGTTGTTGCAGCCCTACTCCAGAATGTTGATTGGAAGCGATGAGTCCTCCTAAGACAAACAATCTTGAACAGACAGATGGTCCAGAACTCTTCTCCAACAGAAGAACTGGCGTCTGTCCTAACAATCTTCCATCGTAAGGGAAGAAAAAAAAAAACTTGCTCTCAGACATTGGCAAAAACTGAGGCAACCATGACAGAGAAAATTTAGTTTGAGGATGTAACTGAATCATCCTGTCCAGAAAAGATAGGATTTGTCCCACGGCATGAGAATGTCCCGATGCAATGTTTTGAAATAGAAATTGAACAAAAAGGACTGTTTTAAAATGTAGATACCATCAATCCCAGCACTTGCATACAGCTCCACCGGAAAACTGATGCCTAGAGTGAAGTTGTCTGCAAATTCTTCAAGTTCTCCCGAAAAACAGGAAGACCTTAGCTTGAAAGGCATAATTAAATATGTATTTGCAACATGCTGCAGCCATCCCGCCAACTCAAGTTAAAAATATAACAAAAAGGAAAAGAAAAACTGAGCAGGTATGAGGTGCAAGGGGTTATAGCCTCCAGGGCGCTTCAGATTTCTAGTGCCCTTTTCTCTTGTAGGCAGCAGTATAACCCTATATTGCTTAAAGCTGAATTCTGGGATAAACAAATATTGTCTAAATACAAGAAGCATGTGTATTCTTACTTAAATCTTGATGTCCTTTCTGTATTTATTCCAGATCTGTGCAGTAATCCAGTATGGAATGTTGCCACTGTGCAGGAGCTACCTGTATTAAGACCAGTCACTGCTGTTCTCTCTCTCTCCTTGTGCAGGGTGATTGGTCTTATATCTGCCCCTCCTGTAGTTTTATGCAGACAGCCTGCAGTAGGTGGGCCTGTTAGGTCTCTCCCACAGATCTATTCTCTGCTTAGGCTATGTGCAGCATAGTGATGATTTTACCACTACTTTTACACGGTACCGTATTTTTCCGTCTATAAGACGCCCCTATGTATAAGACGCCCCCAACTTTTCTTACCCAAAATTCCAAAATCAATATTTTAAATGGTATAATGCATCACAGTTACCTCAATCACGTTATGCGCCGACATTACAGCTCCGGGCACTGGCTACACGCTCGCCCGAGCGCCGGCTGACGTCAGGTACAAAAGATTTATGATCGGATTACAGAGACAAGATAACAGTTTTCATCCAATCATAAATCTTTTGTACCTGACGTCAGCCGGCGCTCGGGAGAGCGGATTACAGAGCCACTCTCCCCAGCAACAGCTGACATCAGGTACAAAAGATTTATGATTGTAGGAAAACTTATCTTGTCTCTGCAATCTGAAGTTTCACTCGTGAGGCTACGGTAGTTTGCAGTGGTATCGGCACTTTCGCCAGTTTCGCAACCGCGGTTCTCCTCTTGGCCCCCGTGTATAAGACGCCCCTCTATTTTTAGGTAAGCATTTTAATGAAAAAGTAGCGTCTTATACACGGAAAAATACGGTAATATTTATTTGTAAAAGGCATTCGGTGAACACAAAGTGGCTATTGAGGAATAAAAGTAAATACATTTTTTTGTGCTCTAAGTTCAGCTTTAATTGCCATCAAGCCGTTTCCCTCAATAGACAATAGAGAAATATGGAGTGGCAAATTGAAAAGGAGAGCAAATAACGTTTCTCTTGGTGAACTATCACCATAGACAATTTTCATTTTCTCTAGATTTTATAAAAAAGGTTTATACTGTATAAGTCAGTGCAATTATTCCACTAACAGTTTTGTGGTTTATATCTGTAATAAGTACAAACCAGGAAGTGGTTACTCACAGTAAGGATGGCTTGCTCTGCCTCCATGTTGTTTACAATCTTTGCTTTTTCTAATGCTTTTTCGAAGTTGAAAATAGCAGACTGGTAGTCCTTCAGTTTTGCTAAAAATGAGCAAGAAAAAAAAACCCTGTAAAAACTGTAAAAGTTACCGTTCAACTTAGTGCTGGAAAAAACTGTAATGGTTAGCAAGGATCCACCAGTATCACACTTTATCTTTACAGAGCCTGCTTTTCTCTCTAATGTGATGCTGCAAATCCAATAAGGATCCTATGCAGATACTGACTTTATGAAAGATTTGCATAGGGCTAGGCATGCTCTCTGTCTGCTTTAATTCACATTGCTACTTGTGATCCAGTGTTCTGGAAAAGCCTAATGCTTGGACATTTAAAATGATAGGCCAAGTATACCAGGTATATACAAGCCATTTTGGAGAAGGCAGTGCATTTAGAATGTCACAGAAATAGGTTAGTCCCTAGTCCATGCTATGCAGTGACATCCAACTAAAGCAGTGTGGCCGAGTGCAACACATGTTAATGTTAGGAGTACTTGGACATTACAATGGCTGTGAAGGTGGTGCATGACTGACAAGTTTGGGAAACAAAGTGAAATTAAAGCTCAGGTGAGGTAAATTAAGTGGCAACATTTTCCAGACAGTATTAGAAGTTCACTAATCAAGTCAACTTTTTGCCTAGAGTTGTTGTAATGTATTTACTTAAAGCTGGTACACTGCAGACAGATCTGTATGAGACTAAATGCAACATGAGAGCCCAGAAGATTTGAAAATGCAAGTAATAGCGTCAGGATAAAACGCTCAACATGTGAAAACCAATGATTGCCTATGGGCATGGTTCCCACCTGGGCGTTTTACAGCACGTAGGAACGCGCTGCAAAACGCCCTATGCCCAAAGAAGTACAGGAGCTTCTTTGGGGCGTATTTGCCACGCGTATCCATTGGGATACAGCCAGGTTGACCTCAGAAACGCACGTTTGTCGCACCAATTTTTACCGCAAATTGCTGTAAAAACGCTCGGCACGAAACACGAGACAAACGCGCATATTCGATACGCCTAGGTGTGAACCCAGCCTATAGGTCTGGCTGTCGTTTACTGCCACAAAAGCAAACACAGGTTCACTTAAAAACATTACTCTATAGCTCTGAAAATGAATGTAATACAGGAAACTGAAAATTAGTAACTGTAAACATAACTGTTCAATATTGTCAACTGGTGTAGAGAAATATTACATGTGCTTTAGCCATGGCAACAAGTGACATCTGAACATAATCTGCTGGACACAGTTGACAGTTCAAGAGTCTGTGAAAGCAAATGGGACAACTAAGCTAAAAAAAACCATATACAAAAGTGACCATTTTTCTGTGTGCCTTAAAATACCAAATGTTCTAGAAAGGAATATTTAAATCTATATAAATAACAAATAGCATTTTTTTTAGAGTCCTGCGTCAGCTTGGGTAGTTGAAAATACCAAACTCTGATTTTTGTAGGGAACTGCATCGTGTCTGATTCAGTCTCCAGGATGCCTAATGCAGCTTCTGTAAAACAAAAAGTGCTGGTTTGCATTTGTCATATTAGTATAAAGAAAATTAGAGAATTAGAGATTACCATGTGATTGTGCCACAAGGACACTGGCATTGAGCTGCCATTCGACATCTCCAGCTTCATCTGCCTCCTCCTGAGATTTCACCCCATAGTTTCTTGCATCCTCTAACATTTCCAGCTCTAAATAACATCTCCCAATTTCATGAAACAGCCATGTCTTCTCCAGGTTCGATGTTGCCAGTGGGATTTTCTCTTCCCACCTATATTAGAACATATTGAGAATACAAGTTTGATTGAAATGGCCTTGAAAAACTAGCACCTTAAAGCGAACTGGTCATCCCCAAGACCCCCAACAACTAACCCTAAAATGCAGATTAGGCACCACAAGGTGCTGATTCAGGCAAATAACTTCCTGGATCATTATTGTATCAAAACCTCCTCCTTATCCCACAATGCAATGCAGGGTGGCTCTCAGTAGGCTGGTGCAGCCCCGCACTGCGGGGCGGCAGGCACTTGGGGCAATAATGTGCACGTTTTGCAAAAGACCAGATTTGCATACTGCAGACAGCTGCGTTTCAGGGGCTCTTGTGATGCCCCAAAGTAACAAAATGGGAAGTTATTTGTACTGATCATAACTTGGCGGTAGTTAAGATTGTGTTACATTATTTGTATACATTACACATAATGTACAGTACATTGCAATACAAAATCTAATACACATCATATAAAGACAGGTAATGCCAGAACATCTTCTAAGCTACAGGCAACTGGCTAACAAAGAATGCAAGTTTTGAAGATTCTTTAACGATTCAAAGATTGCATATACCAGCCCTGTAATAAGGTCCTAACTGAGGTGAACGTGCACTATGTCAAGCGCTGCGTCAATTGTCGGAACTTTATAAATACCTGTAAATAAATAAATACAATAGACACACCGAATCCCAATCCTGTGTGCTCTTCCACTCATTTTTGTTTCTAATACGTTATTTTTCAAGTACTTACACTTTTACAGCTTCCTTAAAATTCCCAATCCGTGCATATACTCTTCCTATATTATCCAGCGCTCGTGATTTTGCTTCAGGTAAGTCACTGTAAAGAAAATTGATTTCAGCAAAAAAATAAAAATACATTTGAACTCTATTTATTAGGATAATTTTCCTTTTCAAGAAAAACACATGGAACCACAAAGAAGAATTTCTCATGAATATATTAGTTCATGAATTCATTGGTTGTGATGAAGAATACGGAGCAATTCTTGGTGGTATACAGCATTACAATTTTGCTTGAAAATATATTGTTCAACAATGCCTATATTGTAGAACATACCATTGTTTTGCCATCTCCAGATCCCTTTTATGACTTTTTAGAGCCTCTTCCATTTCTCCCATGTCCATTTGAGCATTCCCTATGCAACTGTGTAGATTTCCAATTAGCTCCTGCTTACTAGGCATGTCATCATTCCACCTTTGGATTTTCTTTAGGGTTTGCCGTGCCTTTTTATAGCTTCCCTCTGCATCTCCTTTGGAGAGTACTAGAAGAGATCAGTAATATGGTAAGTTATATATGGTCAAAATACCATTGTCAACCTTCATTTCCAACACAGACCTTGATTTACACCGGTGGTAGTAATATCTGCTAGTACACAGTTGGGACAAAAGACCAAACATGTCTTACAACAGCAAAGGCACTTATAGACAGTGGATGATTGTAAATATAACAAGAAAAGTAACCAGTAAAAGAGTAGGAAGAGCTTTGTAGTGACTTGACAGTTTATGTTTGGACACTCTGCACACCCAGAGAAGCCTACTTGTAGGTGGCAAATTTCAAATATAAAGCAATTACATTTTTTTTAGAAATATATATTTTTTTAGATATTATACATATGTACTTACACAAGTCTATCTCTTCCATGCTCTTGAGGGCGTATTGATGGGGATCAGATGGTTTAGCCCGTTGTTTGTTCCACTTCTGTTGCATAATCCTGCGGTCCCGCTCACGTGCATAGATAGGCTTTTGCTGCCTCCAGAACTCTGTACGTGTATCCAGATAGGTAATGGCATTCAGGATCAAGTCTTGCAGCTTTAACCCACTACGTGTGTTTCCTTTCACCAGGCCTATGCCAATAAACATATACGTTAACCATGACTGATTATTAAGGTACATTTATCAATTTTACATTTTATACAAGCAAGCTTCTATCACTGCATCCAGGGCCTGCCAAGTCCTTCTATATCTGGTGCTTCTGTAGACTTATTGTGCATGCATGTCGCTTGTTCTCTATAATAGATGTACATATTACTACTTATTGATGCTTTGTTGACTGGGCATATATGACACAAACAGACTGTGCAGAATGCATGCTAAGGTCAGTGTTTAACAAAGTGTTAGTGAGGATTTAAAGGGTCAGTTCACCCAAAACTGATATTTTGTTAGATGCTGGGGAGTTAAATCACCCACCAGTGGAGACTTCCGTGCTTCATTTCCTGGGTATGTACATCTGCTGTGGCCATTAAAAACGATAGGGGTTCACCTAGCCCACTAGATTCCACCTATACATTAAAAAGAATTTTTGTTGATGTTTATCAAGGAACAAATGTTCAGCTAAATGAGATGACTGGGTTATTATGCTGCCTTTAGGAGGAATTGGACACTGGCAAACAAAAAGCGATTAGCTAAAGAGATGCCAGATTAATCTCAGCTAGCAGCAGGTCTGACGCTGGGAAATAGGAACAGACGCTGGGAATTCAGGGGCCAGGAGGACTTCCCCAGAAGTCAGTGAAGCGTCAGCCCTGCAGCTAGCTGAGATTGATCTGGCATCTCAAGGAGACGGGAGCTTGTTTGCAGTTAGTGCGTGCCGGCCGCTGCAATTTTAAATGTAAGTGTCTGCTTGTCCATTTTTTAAATAAAACCCCTTCACTATATCACAAGGATCCCTAAACGTTATTTTCTTTCATATGACCGGAACATTTAAATGGTCTTGCTGCTGAGACTACAAAACGGAGGAATGAAATGGTTGATCTATGAATGATTGCTCTTTGGTGGGATTTCTTAACAGTCCGAGACTGTTTCATTATGGCAGAAACAAATGATTGAATAGCCAAAAAGACCTGGAAACTGTTGACTGATTTTTGATCTACAAAGCCGTGTAGACATAAGAAATCCGGCAATCAGCTAGTGCGGTTAGTGCACAGCCGTTTGTTTAAGTTAATTATTACCTATTTCAAGTACATTTGTATTCATCACTCTAAAGTACCGTATTTTTCGCTCCATAAGAGGCACTTTTTTCCCCCCACAAAGCGGGGGGAAATGTGTGTGCGTCTTATGGAGCGAATCCCTATCGTCCGACACATGCAGTTTTCGGGCGCGGGGGGTAGTTTTTTGTACATTTAGCCCTGCTTTTAAACGAGTGATCTAATCAGATCACTCGTATTAAAACCAAGCGGCGGCGATCGAGACCATAGAGCCCCTAGATAGAGCAGACAAAGAACGGACGTTCTTCGTCTGCTCTGTGCGATCACCAGTCTCAGCGTTCATTAACTGCAGCTTCTGTCACAGCTTCTGCCACAGAAGCTATGACAGAAGCTCCGGTCTGTTCAGTGCTTCATAAGGCGCATTGGACCTCCCTGCGTCCTATGGTCCGGTGCGCCTTATGGAGAGCAAAATACGGTATTCTTTTTCTTTCACAAATTTTACATTGTTTCACATGTAGTGGATGTATTGATTGTATTACTATACATCTAGTTTTTCTTGTTTCTGACGTTTTAAAAGATTCCACATTAGGGGTCAGTTCACAATTCATGATATTAGAATACCTTAACTGGTTCTTATTTAAACACTATTTACATTTTAACACATTTATTTTTACACATTTATTTTATATTCATTTTTGATAATATACATTTAATTGTGTTAGTCACTTGTTACACTGAGGTTTTTTTTTAGCGCTGTACAGTTTTTCTTACATACAAGTATGCATACTTGATGTCCTCAGATGGCAAATAGTCCCCCTGATAAAATGGATTCCATGACTGACCTGTTGGATTCCATGCAACATTTTTGAACTAGAATGAAAACATTCAGTGCTCTGAGATCCATAATGGGGGAAATTCCTCTTTTGCTTTGGGAAGGTGAACAGGTTTGAGTAGGAACCTTGAAATCTTTCCATTTGAGGAACAACGGTAATGACCCTTTAGGGGTCGTGCCCAAGCTACATGGAGATCTGTTAGTTTGTGTGGTGACAGAGGGAGCTTGGAGGACATAAAGTGGGCAGAGGGAGAGATACTACCTTAACGGGATACTACCTCAGCATTAAAATTCTGGCTTGACACCACATCTTTTACCATGAGATGCTTGCAGTCCAGCAGGCTCATAAGCATTTGGTTTGTGATAGAGAAATACTGGAAAAAAAATCCTGCAAGGGTAACCTATGTGTTGTTTTAAACTTTCTTTTGAATAAAAGTGGGCAAAAAGCCCTTGAAGGTGCTATTGACTGAACTGGAGTTAATATAAAATATAGATAAATAAATAATTGGCTGACACACTGGAATATTCCATGCCATGGAATATCCTCAACAGCAACAGTCAGTGTTTTGGTAAGGCAAGCATTGGTTAGGGCCACAATGTGAACAGTCCACTATCCACTTCTAAGTAAGCGCATCATTCATGGGATATTGTTCATTCAAATGTTTGGGAGGATTAAATAATCTGTCAGGAGTTTTGCAAACACTGTACAAAATAGGTTCCAGTAATGAACCTTTCCCAGTAAGTGTACTGGGAAAGTTTTGACAGTCTTAGGACTTTTCAGGGAGGCCTGACTGGTAACAGGAGTGGTTTTAGAGACAGGTTGCTCCATGATATCTTTTAGCCTAGGAGTTAGCTTGGAAGACTTAAACTAGCCATGCACCTATAGATTTTCGATTGGAAATTTTCATTGCTGCCAAGAACCCTCGTTCGATTCTAGCTCAAATAGCCCATCAAGCACAGACCAATGTCGATTTCGATAATCACTTGTTAGCAATACCAACTACCAATTAAACATGTGCAGTGTTCTTGCTGCAATTTTGTTCCTATGATTGAGGAAATTCGGCCAGGAGTCATCTTAGATTCTAAGTCTCTTGATGAACAATAAAGAAATATCACCTTTGGATGGACAGTCCAGCTAACACTTATATGCACCATGGAGATTAACAGATGCATGATTACAAACTGCCAGAGCAAGCCTAATATACAAAATATATACAAAATCTGAGGAAGCCTTTTACTCCACTTCCCCTCCATGACATTTTGATAAAATTATAAGTTGGTGACAACCTTCATCCTTTAGTAGAGTCTCCAGATACTCCATATCATTGTATATTTTCCCCAGTAGCTGACGTGTAGTCTTTTGACTTTTCGAAGGGTCTGCTTTCTTTTGCTGTTTAGGGTCTTTTTTTGGGACCTTTGCTGGTGCTTTTTGTTTAGCCTTCTTGCTCTGTAACAGACAAAATGCAATGTGTTGTAATAATGTCTATAAACCTTTTTCAGACAATACTCTTTTAAAGTCTCTCTTATTAAGCTCACTGTAAAGATTTCTGTATCATACTTTCTCATGTTAATAGCAGCGTTCAATGAAAATTGTAATTTCTGTTTCTGTTAGTGAACAACAAGTTCTACCCATTAACCCCTTCGTGACGGGAGACGTACAGTGTACGTCTTGTCACTTTGTGCCTATATGACTGGCCACGTACACTGTACGTGACGAGTTATATCAGGCTTTGTAATGCCGGTATTTGCTGATTCTCAGCATTTAACAGTCATTCATTAATGTCTCAGTATTGAGGCATTAATTAATGAAATAATTAAGCTTTTTGTAAAAGCTTCTTCCTTTCAGTAATGAAAGAATGAAGCCGTTACATGCAAATAGAGGATCGCAATTTGCGATCCCGTATTTGACAGCTCAAAATAGCAGAGAGGCAGCAGTGACTCACCTCACCTCTCTGCTATTTGTTTTGACAGCTCGAGAGCCCGATGTTTAGATACATTTCACTGAAAGGATACAATGTAATATCCTTTTAGTGAAATGTATCATTTCTGATCGTCTAGGCACGATCAAAGAGCTTTTAGTGAGATCTGAATCTGACTAAAGTCAGGATCAGTCTCTAAGGTTATTATTAGCTGTTCCTAAGTTTGGATCAGCCTAATAGCCAAAAATAAAATAAAAAAGTTAATTTATCAAGCTGTCATAGTGATTGCTTGATATAAACTGACAAGAAAAAAAAAAGTTTTTTTATTTTATTTTTATTTTTTTTACAAAGTGTAAAAAAATTAAAATAAAGTGTAAAACAAAATTAGGAAAATATAAATTATATATAAATATATTTTTTATACTATAATTAATATAAAAAAATTCTAAAAAAAAATAATAATAATCAAAACTTGTGAAAAAAGTGTTTTCTTCTAGTTTTTTTCCTCATTTTTTTTATTTTATTCAAACTAAGTGAGGGGTTAGGTACACATATGTGATATAATTATATAGCCCTATCTGTCCTCTAAAAAACAATATATAATATGTGTGGGTACATTTAGTAAGAAAGTATATTACTGACGTGGAAGAACCACACAGCAAAAATGTAAAAAATGTGTCAGTCATTTATGAACAGAACCTGAAAACTAGCTCAGTCATGAAGGGGTTAAATAGTAACAAGTTAATATATTCACTCAGTTTACCTTAATCTGCGTTCCATATAATCCAATGCAGAATAACCATACACCTGAATACAGAAACAGTAGGACGCGCAGCAGGAGTGTACTTCCTGTTTAACGTCCTTTGTCTCTGCTTCCTGTATTACCAATCACATGAAAACTTCCAAGGCAGTATGGACAGTATTTGTATGGGAGAGACAGCAAGGAGTGTGTTTCAGCATCGCAAGCAGGTGCATTCCAGGATCATCAAATGGAGTGGACTTGTGCATAGATGAAAAGCTAAACTACGGAACAGGTAGAGTTAACATGCATGCATGCATTCCAAGATTTCAGTTTTGAATGTAGTGTGCCCTAAGTCAGGGCTCAAAATTTCAAGTCCTGAGCTACTAGCCAGGCCTTAAGAGTTACTCGCCACCAGTCGCCCCACCTAACCCTTACCGTGCCCCGCCCTTAACTCCGCCAGGTCAGTGGTGTGACACAGAGATCAGTGATCAGTAACCATGCAGAGTGCAGAGGCCAGTGGTGTAATGCAGAAAAAAGCAATGTATCCTCCATGTCCCAGGTGTCCTGCTTCTCCCGTGCTGTCCTTCCAGCCAGTAGCAGCTCTGCAGTCTTCCTCCCAGCCTATGGCAGCTGAGGTGGGCGGAGGAAGCTGCAGGATCCGGTGTTCTATCGAAAGCTCCAACTCATTGAGATCTCTAACTACCTCTGGTGCTCAGAAACACTGGAGCTCTGTGCAGTGTTATATATATATATATACACATATACATACTCACATACACACACACACATTTTAGGGATGCACTGATACCAGTATTGATGCCAATGGCAAGTATTTGGGCAAGAACTCTTACTCGCCCAAATGCTCTGATGCCTAGCCAGATACCCGACCTTCCAGTATCAGAAACCCGGGCAGCAAGTCATTACACGCTGCCCGGCTTCCTGATTGGCCAAGAAAACCAGCTTCATGCTTTCTCATCATCTAGTGATGAGAAGCATGGAGACGGCTTCCCTGCTAATTGTGAAGCCGGGTGGTGAGTCTTTACACGCCGCCTAGCTTCCTTAATGGGATTTCCGGTATCGGTGAGTACAGAAAAAGAAATATCGCTACCTGTACTTGATACCGAAAAAACAGTATTGGTGCATCCTTAATGCACGCGCACGCACACACTTCTTTAGCCCTTTCCTTTTCGTTTAGATGCAGTGGAGGAGGGTGGAAAATGAGTTCCCTAGGATTGAAAGCGTAGTAATGCCACCTGCTGGCTAAATTTAATATCATTGCTCCCTTAAGAAAGCAGAATGACACTTTATTAGTCCATAATGTTTGAAAAAAACTGACGTAAGTCTGCAAATGAATGTTGACAATGAGATAATGGTACTGCCGTGGCTTGCACATCCTTTTGAAAGTACACAATATATTTTTTTCATCCATACTCACTTCCAACAGAGTTTTCAATGGCCTCCTTCGCTTTCTGAATTCCTAGGCGAAAGTCTTGACGTTCGGGACGTAGTTTGTTCCCTCTATGATAAAAAACAAGGGCAAACTCAAAGTCTCCCATGTCATACAAAGCCTCTGCCTTCTGATACAGGCCCTGCCAGTGAGAGAAAATAGATGAGTTATATAACAATGTCAGAGCCTGCTCACATAAGAGAACTTAATACTTGGATACATTACAAAGACAACCATTGGTGTCTAGCCTCAGAGTAAGTTTGCAGTCTTTGGAAATTAACTGATCAGTTTACATGTTGAGCAATCTATATTAGACAGGGATATGCAGACACACACTTTTTTTTTTTAGTAAGGAAACCGCAGATAACGTCTGGCTAAATTTCTTTCTATTTTTTTCCTGCAAAGCCTGTGATCTACCACACCACCACTCTCCACCTGAAGGGTTCTCTTATTCTGTACCAATAAGCCAGTTATAACTCATTTACTAACCTAGACAGGGATCTGGTTACAGTACTTTATCATAGGAACTTATATATTTTATTGTGAATTCCACACAGATTAACAATATTAGGCGCCACTGTAATAGACTCATCTCCGTGCGTTCCAGCGAGGGAGTCCGGAGTGTCACTTTAACCACCTCTCGACCAGCGGCCATACCTAAACGGCTGGACCAGAGCCTTGTAGATGCGGATGGGCGTTTTAAGACGTTCTTCCACGCCCCCACTCATGCGAACGCTGTTCAATGTAAACAGCCGGCGATGGCTGTTCAAATACAAGCATTCCAGCGCCCTAGAGACGTGCCATCGCTTATATTTTGTGCAGGCGTGCAGCCCCGCCGCTGGTCCTGAAATCCACTGTGCCCGGCCCGGGCTGGGACTGGCACTGCGGCTCTGTCACCAGAGATCGGTACACGATCTCCCTACGATTTCCTCTCCGGCGTCAGAATGCAGGAAGTGTTGTATATTACATCACTTCCACATTCAGCTGTCATTCCCGGCTACAGAAGCTGGGGAGAAGCTGGTGAAGCAAATCTCTGCTTCATCAGCTTCTCTAGTGGTCCCTAGCTGACATCAGGGGTCTTGGGGACCCCTGATGTCTCCATAAAGAGGACCTGTCACATAAATTGGCTATCACATAGGGGGCCTCTTTAAATTACACTAAAAAAAAATACACACATTTTTTTTTTTAAGTCCCCCACCCCCACACGCAAACATGCGTCGGGTGTACGTGCGAAAACGACGATTGCGCCCATTGTGCCACCCATGTTACATATCACAGCGTACGTCAGATTGTGAGCAATAATTCTAGGGCCATTAATATCAGGCGTACTAAACTGATGAGCGGTAAAAGCTTTTAAAGCGTCGCCTATGGCCAATTTTGGGTGTGGTGGTTTTTTTTGCGATTTTGCAGGTGCGCACAATTTTAAGGCTTGACATGTTTGGTGTCTATTTACCCGACGTGATCTCATATTTGATATTTTACCAAATACCCCATTTTTTATATTTTTAAACAATTTAGCAACTTTTGAAATGGTAAAAAAAAAAACAAAAAAAACCCCAGTGGTGATTATATCGCATCAAAAGAAAGCTCTATGTCCCCAAAAACTGATATAACAATAATTTCAGTACAGCGTTGCAAGACTGAGTAAATGTCAAAGTACTGCAGCGCTGAATACTGAAAAATGGCCTGGACAGGAATGGGGTGTAGACACCCCGATCTTCAAGTGGTTAAAGTCTTACTCCAACTGTACAAAATACAAAAAGATCCCCAGCGCACCTGCCAGCTGGCCTGCAACCAAAAATGCACGCTGGGACCCCCAGTGCGCCCCTACATCAAAAATAGTCAAACTAGAAAAAGATGGCATTTTTGGTTGCTGGGCCCCCAGTGCGTCCCTGCACCTTTTGAGGAGGAGTAGGCTGCCTCCCAGGCACACCTGCATTGAATTTATCAACTTCATTAATATGCTCACACTTGGAGACTCAAATAAATTGAGTTAGGACCACACTTTGCAGAGGTGCCTTGACGGGTGCAGTGTGGCTTCTACATATTTTTGGCCAAAAGTTTGTGCAACTAAAACCGCTGTTTTTAATGCATACTGTTGACAGGGTAATTTGTTTTGTTGCAGGCTAGCTGGCAGGTGCGTTGGGGATCTTTTTGTGTTTTGTATTGTTGTAAGCCTTCCCATGTGCGCCCTGCTATAAAGGCTGGTTATAGATTCATGCGGTTGCCATCTTTTTCTGGTCTTACTCCAACTGTCCCTGTTGGGGAGAATGAAAAACACCTCTATATTAAAGAGGAGAAGGGTTAGACTATCTCCTAGCCTTCCACTGCTGTATGGATCCCCATTTGTGAGATTTGACCTTACTTACAGTCCTGATGGCACCCAGTGTCTCAGTGTGGTGGAGCGTGCCCCCAGGACTACAAGTGAGGGTCAGTCTCCCTGACAGGGACAAAGACAGTAATAAAAAACTGACAGGGGTTCTATATCTTTCTATCAGCAGAGAATACAGTTTGCCACGTTACCCTGAAAAAGTCACTGTCATCTTGCAGAGAGGTTTCCGCATCCTTTAAAGCTGCTTCTGGATCCCCAAGTTTTAAGAAACATTTGGATCGTGCAACCAGGCAGCGTTTGTCAGTGGGTTGTAACTCCAAAGCCTATAAGAAGAAAAAAAAGTGTCATGAAAAAAAACTCAGGTCTGACACAGGATTGTATACCTGCAATTATAAAATGCTTTTTAGTAACATGGTAGAAAATGCACTGTCGTACATAACAAATACTTACAGAGAAGCTGATGTCATTCTAAGTACATTAAACTGGTTTATGACTAGCTGATATGGGTTAATAGAGGGCCAGATAAATCCCAGGAGCCAGGCAGCCAATGCCCCTTAAGGCCTCATTCACACTGCTAAGAGCTGGCACGTACAGATCCGTGCGGCGTGCATGGCCGTATCGGGCCCTTCCCGGGGAGGACAGGTGCTGCGTGTGATTGTACGCAGCAGCCTGTTCCTCTCTATGGGAGTACGCGGCTGTATGCTCACCCGAGCTGCACATCCGTGCGGGTGTCCATACTCGTACGCAGACAGGATGGATCACAACCGCACGGATGTGCAGCTCGGGTGAGCATTTGGCCGCGTACTCCCATAGAGAAGAACAGGCTGCTGCGTACAAGCACACGCAGCACCTTTCCTTCCCAGGAGTGGCCCGATACGGCCATGCATGCCACACGGATCTGTACGGGCCTGCTCTTTAGCAGTGTGAATGAGGCCTATAATGGCTCAGCTGATGCCTAACTTTGAGGTTTTCTCTATTGCTGTCAAAGTAGCGGACTCCTAAAAAAAACAAACAAATCCCGCTGGCTCCTGGATTGGACAGGCTAGCTCCTGAATTCCATGTTAATGTGTCCACCCCTGGCTAACACACACAGCTGCATTTTATAATACATTACTAAAAAAAAGTAATGATTTATTATCTGAGCAGTAACAGTTCTTTCCTACTGGGTAATGTATTCACTGGAAATGTGTGCTCGTTCAGGATCAGGGTTGAGATGGAGTGCAAGTTGTGGATATGAGTGGGGTGGGGGTGAAAAAAAGCTGGCAAAAAACTTGGTAAGTGGGGGTAAAAACACATACAGGGTTATACACAAAAGGGTGAAGAGTTTGGAGAAGGCAGAAGTGAACAATCTAGGACAGGGGTAGCCAAACTCCGGCCCTCCAGCTGTGGTGAAACTACAAATCCCATGATGCATCTCTCTCCAGTCATGTCTGTGGCTGTGATAATCTTGCAATGCCTCATGGGATGTGTAATTCCACCACAGCTGGAGGGCCGTAGTTTGGCTACCCCTGATCTAGGACAACATACACTATATTGCCAAAAGTATTGGGACACCCCTCCAAATCATTGGATTCAGGTGTTCCGTGAAATTTCCTTGCTACTAAATATTCCACAGTCACCTGTTAGTGGTATTATAACAAAGTGGAAGCAACTGGGGACAACAGCAACTCAGCCACAAAGTGGTAGGCCACGTAAAATGACAGAGCGGGGTCAGCGCATGCTGAAGCGCATAGTGCGCAGAAGACGCCAACTGTCTGCAGAATCAATAGCTACAGACCTCCAAACTTCGTGTGGCCTTCAGATTGGCACAACAACGGTGCGTAGAGAGCTTCATGGAATGTACGCAGACAGGATGGATCACAACCGCACGGATGTGCAGCTCGGGTGAGCATTTGGCCGCGTACTCCCATAGAGAAGAACAGGCTGCTGCGTACAAGCACACGCAGCACCTTTCCTTCCCAGGAGTGGCCCGATACGGCCATGCATGCCACACGGATCTGTACGGGCCTGCTCTTTAGCAGTGTGAATGAGGCCTATAATGGCTCAGCTGATGCCTAACTTTGAGGTTTTCTCTATTGCTGTCAAAGTAGCGGACTCCTAAAAAAAACAAACAAATCCCGCTGGCTCCTGGATTGGACAGGCTAGCTCCTGAATTCCATGTTAATGTGTCCACCCCTGGCTAACACACACAGCTGCATTTTATAATACATTACTAAAAAAAAGTAATGATTTATTATCTGAGCAGTAACAGTTCTTTCCTACTGGGTAATGTATTCACTGGAAATGTGTGCTCGTTCAGGATCAGGGTTGAGATGGAGTGCAAGTTGTGGATATGAGTGGGGTGGGGGTGAAAAAAAGCTGGCAAAAAACTTGGTAAGTGGGGGTAAAAACACATACAGGGTTATACACAAAAGGGTGAAGAGTTTGGAGAAGGCAGAAGTGAACAATCTAGGACAGGGGTAGCCAAACTCCGGCCCTCCAGCTGTGGTGAAACTACAAATCCCATGATGCATCTCTCTCCAGTCATGTCTGTGGCTGTGATAATCTTGCAATGCCTCATGGGATGTGTAATTCCACCACAGCTGGAGGGCCGTAGTTTGGCTACCCCTGATCTAGGACAACATACACTATATTGCCAAAAGTATTGGGACACCCCTCCAAATCATTGGATTCAGGTGTTCCGTGAAATTTCCTTGCTACTAAATATTCCACAGTCACCTGTTAGTGGTATTATAACAAAGTGGAAGCAACTGGGGACAACAGCAACTCAGCCACAAAGTGGTAGGCCACGTAAAATGACAGAGCGGGGTCAGCGCATGCTGAAGCGCATAGTGCGCAGAAGACGCCAACTGTCTGCAGAATCAATAGCTACAGACCTCCAAACTTCGTGTGGCCTTCAGATTGGCACAACAACGGTGCGTAGAGAGCTTCATGGAATGGGTTTCCATGGCCGAGCAGCTGCATCCAAGCCTTACATATGTTTGTTTAGTCTAGGTGTAGAGAAATAACCTATAGGGTGAAGAGTGAGTAGACACCATGGGAGGTTAGAAGTGAAAACACACTTGTTAAGCTGGCCATATACTGTTAGTCCCACTGGATAAATGAGAAAAAAAACCTCTTGACTTCCCCATCAAACAGCTCCTGCGTTCTCACAAGACAGAAAATGCAATTATGAAGAGGGGAATTACCCTCACTTTGAGATGTTTGCCTCTCACTTCCTGTTGCACCTCCCAAACAGGAAGTGAAGAAAAATCAACCCAGCAGGACACAGGGAGAAAACAAACAAACAAAAAACGAATAAGAGTTTTAATCCTTTACTACTTTATCCAAAGCAAAATCATTTGGGCTATATACATTTCCATTTCAACATGAACACCCTGTTAGAACCCATAAGTTCACGTCCCTTCCTACTAATGCTACTCAGTATGAGTGTCTACATCTTTTGTAAAACTACAAGTCTCAGCATTCCCTAAGCATAGAAGACTCGCAGGGACTACCATAGCAGTCTATACCCATGCAGACGTTCTCTTACATTGCTGAAGCTCTCCTTAGCTTTACCGTATTCCCACTTGTGGTAAAGCTGGTCCCCTTCAGCCATGTACGTGATGAAGGTGCTGCGGGGCCCCTGCTCTCCATCCTTCTCCTCTGCCATCCTGGAGCTGCTACACTTGCACAGCCGACGTTTTCCTCACAGTACTGTTGGCAGCCTATGCTGTCGCTTAGCAACATGGAAACAAGACTGGTGTTGCGTCTTCCGGTGTTCTGTCGAAATCGCTAACTCGTCGAGATCTCCAACTCAGCCAATGCTGTGCAGGCAAGTCGAAATCCAATGAAAAGTGCTCATGGGGGCGGGGTTTCATGCTGTGCTTGCTGTAGAACTTCTGTCCTAGGTGTTGTAATTCTGTAGTAACGTCCCTTATTTTACCGAGTGATAATTTTACAGTGAAGACCTTCTTTTCAATCCACTCGCTTGATTTTCTTATTGACGTTTGTAAACAGTTAATCACCGCTGAAAGTGCAGAATACCATTTAGATGGCCAGTTCAGGACTCCTAATCATTGCAGGCATCTGTCCATTATTTGGAGGGACTGTCCCCTGTTTGAACCCTATACTGGGCTCTGGTAACACATGTGCAGCAATGCACTTGATTATGTGTCATCGCAGCTGATTCAATATGAATAGGTCCAGAGGCAGGAGAAATTGCCCCGCTCTATTTTTTTCTCACTGCAGTGCATTACAGTAACCCAGAGCACCAATGTATCAAATTGGCACTCGAATAAACGGTTATCTGAGGGGTTGCTATGGGTTACAGCTAGAGGTGCACCGAAATGGAAATGTATCGACTGCTCACCTCCCGCAGCGCTCGGCCGTCTGTGACACTTTCTCTCCTCCGCGCTGGGCACAGAGCAGCAGCCAGTGGGTAGGAGAGAAAGAACGCATGCACTACTATTTTGGCCAAAAAAATGGCACTTTGGCCGATACGTTTCGGCAGCCGAAATATCGGTGCATCCCTAGAACTTTCTTTTGAATAAAAGTGGGCAAAAAGCCCTTGAAGGTGCTTTACTGACTGAACTGGAGTTCACATAATAAAAAAAATAATAATGAGCTACCACACTGCAGTGGTAGCCCCACTGCAAGGGTTACATTTTGAAAATCGTGGAGATTTGATTTAGGGCAGCACTGGTTGCTTTTTCCAGTGCAGCACCAATGTGCAGACAAAGCAATTTGCCTAGTTTAATATTGGCTTCGTTCACACTACTGCATTGTGATGGTGGTGGGTGGTGGTGACGTGCGCTGGAAAAACGTGCTGCATTCAGTATTTTTTTCAGTGCAGCATGGTATGATGTGGTACAACCTCAATGCATCATGCCATGCCAATAGAACTTTGTGAAATGTCATTTGTGACCTTTCTATATACAGTAGTTCTAACAAAAGAGTAAACAGTGTGATATGTTAGGATCAGGGAATCAGCACTGTACCTATCAGTACACACCAGCGACATTCTGTGTGGCTAGCTGGTGACCAGACCCCTAAAAAGACATTGTCAGCTTGTCTGTGCAGGGCAAAGTGACAGTGCCTTTGTAAAGGGCCTGCTGCCCCCACCCCAGTTAAACTCTTCTTACCAGCTCTGCCTCGCAACTCCTGCCTCTGCTACAGCCGGCGCTTAAATCTAAAGGTGCACATACACCTTACGTTTATCGTACGATAATCGTATGCGATCGACTTTTGGTACGACAATCGCAAGGTGTATGGGGAGTGTGCAAGCGCCAGTACTGTACAATCGTCCCACTTTTGTCTTTCCTGCGTGTTCGAAAACTTCAGTCGATCGTACAATTTTCGCAAGGTTGGTGGCGTTTCCGTACGTCAAAAGTCGTACGATTAACACCGCTCATGCGCAAACGGAAATACCTGCGGTAGATTACCTCAATTCGTCCAGGTGTTTTTTTTAACTACCGCTGATTGAACCTTGCGATAGTCGGGGCAGGATGGGGCCACCGTATGAAAATCATACGACGGTTCGATCATCGGACGAAAAGTTTCGCCTGATGATCGCAAGGTGTATGGGCACCTTTAGGCGTCGCTTCTGTCGGACAAGAGGAGCAATGATTTCACTCCCATAATCATGTGCTTGGACCCAGTGTTTGCTTAGTTTACTTCCAAACTTTCTGAGATGAGAAAGCACACCTTCCATTGGAACGTATTGAGACAATGGACAGACTCCTGCCACATTCCCAGTTATGCTGACCATTAGAATTTATACGCGAAAAATGATTGGAAAAACCCAGAATTGTTTTTTTTCGCCATTACTTTCCTTTCTACTGGTTTTTCAAATGAGTAAATACGATAATTACGAGATAAGACACTTCAAAACATTCTAAGGGGAATTTATCAAAACTGGAGCAGACAAAATCTGGAGCAGCTGTGCACGGCAACCAATCAGCTTCTCTCTTTTATTGTTAAATCTTAAAGGAGAACTATGGGGTTAGGGCTTTTCCCCATAGTTCTCCTAAGGGTAATGGGAGGACACAAACCAGCGTCCTCCCGCCACACAAAGCTCAGATGCCGCAGCCGGAACGGATCCCGACAATTCTGTCTGGATCCACCCAGCTGCGTGATTGACAGCTGGCTCTGCCTATCTAGAGGCAGAACCAGCTGTACCCGCCCCCTCCCCCGTCCGTTCCGCCAGTCAGCGCTGGAGGATCGGACATGGGAGGGGGGAATACAGTCCCTCTCCTGTCACGGCTCTCTGCCAGCACAGGATCGAGAAGTGAGCGAACGCCGGTATGTGTTCGCTCACTTCCCGATCTACTGAGCCGACCTGTGGCAGTTTAATTGTTACATGTCGGCTAGAACTATGAGGTGAGTGAAAAGCACTCACCTCATAGTTCTCCTTTAACTGAACTGAGCAAACAGACCACAAATCATTTGTTTCTCCCCTTTTCCACTCTCATCCGATGACCTAGCTCCCGGGATCCTTCTATATCTTCTAAGGGCTGATTAATAGTGATGGGCTCAGGCGTGTTCGCAGCTCCACATGCCGAGCCCGACAGGAAGCTGACAGCGCCAATCACAGGTACTGAGACATTATCCCGGTCCGCAGCTGCAGAGATCGGGAAATGTCTCAGTGCCTGTGATTGGCGCTGTAATCTGTCAGCTTCCTGGCGAGCTCGGCACGTGGAGCAGCGAACACGCCCAAGTCCATCACCACTGATTAATGCACTCGATAGCTTTGATGGTTTTTCTCTTTTCTCGTTTTATCATTCAATCATTGAAGCTCAAAGAAACAAGAAAGCGCTCTCCATTGAGCAGTATGGGTTAAAAAATATTTACTGCGTATAAAATAGTAACACTTACAAAAACAATAAAAAACTTTACGCTTAGGATACAATCTCAGATGTATCGTGATTTTGAGCTTGTGAAGTCTATGAACTTCTTACTCCACACTATAGAACATGTGACATTTAGTAGGTGCTCTAGCATTCAACAAACACTCAATGACTGGAGAGGAGTAATCCAGGCAAGACAAGACCTTACTTCCAGCCTCCAAGCCGCTAAAGGTAGATTTGGATGTAGCACATGCTGTAGAAAGTCTGAATTTTTAGGATTGCTAGAAGATTCCAGGGTCAGAGAGGGAAACCTGGACAGATGGGTCACAGGCAAATGATTGCTATCACCCTACCTGGATAATTGTCCTATTTAGGAACCTGAAACCATTGGGACTTTGGGCCCACTCACACCACAACCAGATCAACTCCAGACCAGATCAGATTGTTTTCGGACCCAACGTGCATGCTAATGTATCCCTATGCTATTTCTGGCCTCTGTTCACAGCAGTGCAGTCCGGTCCAGAACAGACCAGAATTATACTGCATGACTTATTTTGTCTGGTTTGGAATACACTGGAATGCATGGAAACGCATCAAAAGCACATACAAATGTATTCAAACGCAATGGAAAGCAACTGGAAACCCATTTTAAGCTAAAAGAAAAAAAAGCAGCTCCGGAAAGCAGGCAAAACGCAATGCACTGCGCTCCAGATCTGGCCTGGAAAATGGTGTGAACCTGCCCTGGAAAATGGTGTGAACCTGCCCTGGAGGAACACACAAGCATTAAAATATCCACTACCACTACTCCTGCCACTAGAGAGTTCACTCTTGACAAGAAGTGTCTGCACTCTGTGCTCTTAGTCCCTGTTCACACCAAAGCATGGAGCCGGCTTCCTGACCAATCAGGAAGCTGGGCAGCAAGTCATTACACGGCGCCTCGCTTAGGGTTGCCACCTGTCCAGGATTCACCCAGACAGTTCGGGTTTTGAATGCTGTGTCCGGGTTTCATGGCACCAGGAACCCGGACACAAAATGTCAGGTAGACAGGAGCAACCAAAATTAAGATGGGGGCTACTGGCCCCCCACTAAAAATAGTCTCAACTGTGATATTTACATATTAATGGGTGGTTCCTTTTACATATGAATAAGCCACAACTAATTCTCCTAAAAAAATATGTCCACGTGTCGCTAGAGTGTTCGGGTTTCGCTTGAAGAAAAGGTGGCAACCCTAGCCTCGCTCCCTGATTGGCCGGGAAGTCGGCTCCACGTTCCCTCATCACCAGATGACGAGGGAGCATAAAGCCAGCTTTCTAGCCAATCAGGAAGCCGGGGGTAATGACTTGCCGTTCGGCTTCCTTATTGCTAGTTTCGTGACCAATCAGGAAGATAGGTGGTGAGTCATTACACACAGCCTGGCTTCCTGAATAACATGGAGCTGGCTTCTCGGCCAATCAGGAAGCTGGGCAGTGTGTAATGACTCGCTGGAAGTTCGGGTATAGGGCTACGCATCAAGCATTTGGGCGAGTACGAGTACTCGGTCAAATACTCGGTATCTGCACCGATACCAGTACTAGTATCGGTATCAGTGCATCCCTGTCAGAAAGGTTTACTCTGCTCTATCTAGCAGAGTAAACCTTTCCCTGCGGTCTTTTTTTTTTTTTTTTTACATCGGGGCCGCCGTCAAAGTAAAGAAATAAAAAAACAAAACAGACAGTATTGAAATTAATAGCTAGATTGCTATTGGCTATTTCAATTTGCAATAGCATCCTGGCTATTGCACCCGCCCTCTGCTACTGTCAATCAGCAGAGGTGGATCTGAAGTTCTCTGATCAACAGCAGCACTGGGCGTGTGCAATAGGCAGCCTGCTATTGCAAATTGAAATAGCCAAAAGCAATCTAGCTATTCATTCCCATGCTGTTTGTTGTTTTTTTTTTTATTCTGACAGCAGGAGCTGTCAGAATACAAAAAACAAAAACCAGCAGAAGCAAGGGAAGCATTAGCTGCTCTTCCCCCATTCTCCCTCCCTGAAATTATTTTTTTCAGGTTGGGATGCCTGCTGTTAGAAGCTAATGAGGGGAATTTTAAAAACTGGAGCAGACAAAATTTGGAGCAACCAATCAGATTTTCTCTTCCGTTTGTTCAGTTAAGATTTGAAAATGAAAGAGAGAAGCCGATTGCTTGCCGTGCACAGCTGCTCCAGATTTTGATTAATTCCCCTGTGTATTTCCCTTCCTACTAATGCTACTCAGTACAAATATCTCCATCTTTTGTAAAACTACAAGTCTCAGCATTCCCTAAGCATAGAAGACTCGCAGGGACTACCATAGCAGTCTATACCCATGCAGACGTTCTCTTACATTGCTGAAGCTCTCCTTAGCTTTATCGTATTCCCCTTTGTGGTAAAGCTGGTCCCCTTCAGCCATGTATGTGATGAAGGTGCTGCGGGGGCCCTGCTCTCCAGCCATCTCCTCTGCCATCCTGGAGCTGCTACCCTTGCACAGCCGAAGTTTTCCTCACAGTGCTGACAGCAACCAATGCTGTCGCTTAGCAACATGGAAACAATAATGGTGTTTCCTACTCCTTCCGGCAGCCAATGAAGTGCAGGCAAGTCAATGTCCAATTAAAAATGTTAATGGGGCGGAATTTCCTTCTGTGCAGCTTGCTGTACTAGAACTTCTGTCCTAGGAGGTGTATTTGAACAGAAACATTCCTTATTTTACCGAGTGATATTATGACAGCGAAGCCCTTCATCTGCTTCTTTTTCTTAATAACATTTGTGAACATTTATTGGAGATCAGTGCTGAAAATGCAGCGTAGCATTTAATCATAGCAGACATCTGTTCCTTGTTTTCACCTTCTCAGACTTCCCAACCTGCAAACACTAATTTCAGGGAGGTGCCTTTGCGGCTACTCCAACCCCCTCCCCCCTAAACTATTTACACACGCTAAAGCTAAAGAAATAGCTTTTTACACACGTTAAAGAAAATAGCTTTCATTGTACCGTGCAGTAACTTGTTTGGCAGATTTCAGCATTTTGCTAGAAGTCTCAACCTCATCTCAACCATACTTTTTCTTAAAGGGACATGTGACTTTTAGAAAAAAAACAACAACAATACAGACTAATGATTTTAGGGCAGTTTCTTTATAATTATGAAGAACTGTAACTCAGTCCATAATTATTCAGCAATGGAGAATGGCAACAAGCAATAGAGGACTACAGATCCCATCAATCTTCCTGTGCTTCCTCTGGCCGTGTGAACTGACACCAGCCAGGAGGACATTATCAGACAGCTGAGGAGACTACCTGCCATTGTAGAACATAGAATAAAACATAGTTGAACACCCCATTACACTCACATTTGCCCCACTGTCATCCTCCACAACTGACCCCGCTGTCATCTTGTACATTTGCCCCGCTGTCATCCCGTACATTTGCCCTGAGTCACCCTGTACATCTGCACTGCTGAGACCCTTCACCCAAAACATCAGACCAGCACCGTGGAGCAGAGGGGCAGCATAGAATATGTATCAAAATCAAATACTGTTTTGCACCGTAGTATAATGTATTGCTGGGATTAGTAGTCCTCTCTAGCTGGTGGTAAACTGCATTGCTGTATATTGTATTGCTTGGATTTGTAGTTCTCTCTAGCTGGTGGTATTCTGCATTGCTGTATGGTATTGCTTGGATTTGTAGTCCTCTCTAGCTGGTGGTATTCTGCATTGCTGTATGGTATTTCTGGGATTTGTAGTCCTCTCTAGCTGGTGGTATTCTGCATTGCTGTATGGTATTTCTGGGATTTGCAGTCCTCTATAGCTGATGGTATTCTGCATTGCTGTATAATTTTTGCTGGAATTTGTAGTCCTCTATATGCGGTGGTAATCTGCATTGCTGTATAATGTATTTCTCTATTTGTAGTCCTCTATAGCTAGTGGTATTTTGTGTTGCTGTATAATGTATTGTTAAAATTTGTAGACCCTCTACAGGTTGGAGTCAGTGGCAGAACTATCATTGTTGGGGGGCACAACATTTTGCCCTGGGCACCCAATACTTGGTTACGCCACTGATTATACAGCAATGGAGAAAGACAACTATTAATCATGGATTGCTGAAACTTGTAGTCCTCTATAGCCAGTTGCCATTCTCTATTGCTGTATAATCATTGATTATACAGCAATGGAGAATGACAATGTTTGGGTCTCTCCAGGGCTGCGTTTTTGTCTCACCAGGACTGTGTGCAGATCTCACCAGGGCTGCATGTGAGTGCCAGGCTCTCAACAGTGTGGGGCTGTCCTTTGCAGTGCCGGTCTGAAGAAGAAGCAGGAGGTGATGTGTGGCCAGACCAGCACTGTCAAAGACAGCTGCCCAAGGACCGCAGCAGGCCGCATTTAAAATAAAAAAAATTAAAGGGCAGGTATCCCTACTTTCCGGTGTACTTTGTTTCACTTGCAGGCATCAGGAAGCCGCTATCTAATAGTGGGAGACTCCTGAAACATCCGGGAGAGTTGGGATGTCTGCCCTATAATGGGTCTCTGGTAATACACGGGCAGCAATGTACTAGATCAGGGTTCTCAAACTCAATTCACTTTGGGGCCACTGGACAACTTTTCTTCTCCCATAGGGGCTGATTGCCAAATTTTATAAAATGTCATACTTCAAAACTAAATGTAACTATATACAATAGCAGTGTTAATGTCCATATATTTTTCTGCATTCAAGACCACACTGACCGCCTGCAGCCCGCACTGACCTCCTGGATACCCATCGTTTTCAATCATAATGACAACAGAAACTACCCAAATGACCCTGATCAAAAGTTTACATACCCCAGTTCTTAATATGGTGTGTTGCCCCCTTTAACATCAATGACAGATTGAAGTATTTTGTGGTATGTGTGGATGAGGCATTTTACCTTCTCTTTACATTCTTGGGCTGTCTTGCATGAACGGCACATTTGAGATCTCCCCAGAGTGGCTCAATGATATTGAGGTCAGGAGACTGAGATCGCCACTCCAAAACCTTCACTTTATTCTGCTGTAGCCAATGACAGGTCGACTTGGCCTTGTGTTTAGGATCATTGTCATGTTGGAATGTGCAAGTACATGCAAATGCAAATTGTCCTCCAGTATCTTTTCATAACATACTGCATTCATCGTGCCTTCAATTCTGACCAACTCTCCTGTGCCTTTGTAGCTCACACATCTCCAAAACATCAGCGATCCACCTCCGTGTTTCACAGTAGGAATGGTGTACTTTTCATCATAGGCCTTGTTGACTCCTCTCCAAATGTAGTGTTTCTGTTTGTGGCCGAAAAGCTCAATTTTGGTCTCATCACTCCTCCAAATCATGTGTTCCAATCACCTCCATGGCCTCAGGTGTATAAAATCAAGCACTTAGGCATGCAGACGCTTCTACTAACATCTGTGAAAGAATAGGTCGCTCTCAGGAGCTCAATGAATTCAAGCATGGTACCGTGATAGGTTGCCACCTGTGCAATAAGTCCATCTGGGAAATGTATTTGCTACTATGCTACTAAATATTCCATGGCAACTGTATTATAACAAAGTGGAAGGATCTGGGAACAACAGCAACTCAGCCCCAGATTGGTAGGCCACGCAAAATGACAGAGCGGAGTCAGCGCATGCTACAGTGCGCAGAAGGTCACCAACTGTCTGCAGAGTCAATAGCTATGGACCTCCAAACATCGTGTGGCCTTCAGATTGGCACAACAACAGTGCGTAGAGAGCTTCATGGAATGGGTCTGTGAAGGTTCTCATTCATCCAGGTCATGGTATATCTGTAAAAAAATAAGTCAAGGCAACTGGACTTGCTGTATTTTTCTGAAAAACACGTTTCATTGGACACCCGACCAGCTTTATCAATTCAGAATGACTTGTACAAAAAATTATCTGGGAATAAATATGGTATGTATGTATGTGGCAGACAATAGATGTCTCACCCCCCCCCCTCCTTTTTTTTTTTTTTAAACCAGTCCTCCTTCCTGTCTAGGATGCGTACTTGACTGACTTCAAAGGAGTGACCTTTAGGTGTAGGTATACTGCCGAATCCTGACCAGAGGGTTTTGCTCTTCTATGCTGTGCCTTATGCTGGTGTAGCTGCTGTTTTGTTCCACCGACATACAATTCTGAGCACTCGTCGCTTCACTGGACTACATACACAATGTTGTTCATCTTGTGTTTTGGTGTTGGGTCTTTTGGGTGAACCAGTTGTTGCCTCAGTGTATTGCTGGGTTTAAAGCAGACAGGGATGTGATGTTTTAAAAAAAAACCCTTCCAGGCTTTCACTGACCATATCAGCTCAGAGGATCATAACATCAAGTTTACGCGGGAAGATATGCAAAACAACAAACTGGCTTTTTTGTTTAGTAACAGTAGAAGAGGGAAGGAGCCTGGAAATAGAGGCCTACCGAAAACCAACAGACACGGACCAGTACTTGCTATTTGACTGCAAGCCAGGCCTTCTCGTCCAACATCAGTACCTGACCTCACGAATGCGCTTCTGGAAGAATGGTCCAACGTTCCCATAGACACACTCCTAAACCTTATGGACAGCCTTCCCAGAAGAGTTATAGCTGCAAAGGGTGGGCCAACTAATATTAAACCCTACGGACTAAGACTGAGATGCCATTAAAGTTCATGTGCGTGTAAAGGCCGGCGTAGCAATACTTTTGGCAATATAGTGTATGTATTTCTTTATACACTTGACATTATAGTATACCATATATACACTCAAGTGATGAAATTGAACACATTGTTTCCCTACATGTTTACTTGCACTTATATGGTCCCCTTATACACACTATTTTATATATTCATTTAATATCTTCACATACACAGATTGCTTTCTTTTTCCGTCACTTTTCTTTTTTCTCCTTTTCTTCAATATACAGAAGATTCACTTGATCAATGAGTTATTTTTATAAAGCAGATGCTTGGAGAATCCATATTGTGTAGTATATACATGTATAATATAAAAGGTAGAAGCTGTATGTGGTTAATGTTTTATTGATGGCATTTTTTGGGGGGGGAAAGATTGAGCTAGAAGTTGATAGCATTAGATTTTGTCTAATAGGTGGGTTTTATAAAAACATTTTGGTCTGGGGCTAAAATAAACATGACATACTAGCCTGATCCTCAATTCTGCTGCAGTAACTGCTCAGTTCTGAGCTCCTCGCCTCTGGCGGTGGAAAGTCCCTCAATATCCTCACATGATGAGGTCACAAGTTTTTAGAACGCATGAAGTGAGGCTAGCAGCCAAGTGAGACCGTTGATTAGGCGAGTATATTTTCTTTACTTTAGGCCTTTGACCAAAATGAGCAGTAAACACTTGCAGTGGAGCTAATTTTTAGATTGTCTTGAATTCTATTGCACAATTTAAAAAAATGTGTTATCAATTGTAGCCATGTACACTGGGAGCAGTGTACACTCACTTGGCTTTCAGCTCTAGCCATGTATGTTACATGCAGAGTACAGCTAAATTGGTGTTCAGTTGTAGCCATGTACACTGGGGAAAAGTGTAAGCCACTTATTTTGACTGTAGCCATGTATGTTGGGTGAAGTGTAGTCATTTGTTTTTCAGTTGTAGCCATGTCAAGTGCACACTCACTTATTTTTCAGCTCTAGGCTTTTGTAGCTGTAATCATGTTTGCTGGGTTAAGTGTATGCTGAGTATATTGTGCTTTTACTTATAATTTTTAGCCCTGTATGCCTGGCAACTTTTCAGCTCCAAGCATGGACATTGGGTGTATTGTGAACTCACTTGCCTGCCAGCCCTAACCATGTGCAATGTTCAAACTCTGAACTGTTATAGCAACTGTGGGTCATAGTTACCATTTGTTTTGATTATACGCACAACACGCCTGCCATTTTAGTCTGTAACCTTGCTAATTTCATCATGTACAGTTTCTCCCACCTATAAGAAAAAGTATATCACACAATGTTTATGATGTACAGCTCTACCAGTTTATTTCAAGTCTGCAAAATGTTGCTTATTGTGAATTTGCTGATATATCTATCTCCAGCTGTGACCAATTCTAGCTTCTACATTGGTATATGGGCAATCAATGGCTTAGGGAAAAAAAAATGCATAACATGTTGGCTTATCCTTAGGACATACCATAAGCATTGCTAGGACCAGGGCACATGTCCCAGGTCAGACGAGACCTCTACAACAGAATGCCACTCTAATAATCAGCATAATGCAGCAGGCATGATATCCAGCCCAATGACACTTAGAAGGGATGGAAGGCTGCATGCTGGGACCTCAGGAGCTATGCTGAAAAAAAGTAAACACCGACACCCAACAAAAGGGGATCAGATCACTGAGCAACAAAGTTATGGGGCACACAACCCATAGAGCAGGCCTCAAAATTTCCACTTGCCCCCTCGCAATTGGCGAGTGGAATCTCATCGAGGAGCGCCGCTGGCGAGACCAGAGATGGGACACTACCGCCGTGGCAATTGGTCGCTTCTGTTCTCTCTGTAGCTACAGCGGCCGATGAGAAGAGAGAACACAAGGGAACGATTGCCGTGGTGGTAGTGTCCCATCTCTGGTCCCGCCGGCGGCGCTCCTCGATGACATCCGCTGTCTTCTGCAGCTTCCTCCGCCCACCTCAGCTGCCAGGCTGGGAGGAAGACTGCAGAGACGGTGAGACCGGCCATCCAGAAAGTTGACCCCTGCGTCACTCTGACCCCTGTGTCACTCTGACCCCTGCGCTGTGCGTCACTCTGACCTCTGCGCTGTGTGTTACATTAGGGTAGGGGTTAGGTGGGGCAACTGGTGGCGAGTAACTTTTAAGGCCTGGCTAGTAGCTCAGGACTTGAAATTTTGAGCCCTGCCATAGAGCAT